TACAAGAAAATGAAAAAATCTCACGTACATTTAAAAAGTATTGGGAAGGATGTGATGCACAAAAAATACTATCAAAAGTCGATCAATGAATATAGCAGGGAATAAAATATAGTTTCCATAGAGGTTGTAAATTAATTAAATTTAAGTACCAAAGTTAATTAATTTTAATTTTATTAATTTAACTAACTATTTAAATTACTTAAAACAAATTATTAATTTAAGTGAAATTAATATTTGAGGTTCTAAGCTAAGACATCAAATTTTACCATAATCAATTTATATACAATTTAGATTAATATGCTTCTAAAATATTTACTATTTATATGATAAGATTTTCTTATTTATTTGATATATTTTCTCAAATTACATCAATTTTATCTTCACTTGTTAGCTCATTATATTTTTATGTGAATTTAAATAAATAATAAAAATGTATAACTTTTTGTGAAATTTCCTATCTTATGTAGAATCTTTCAAATCTATTTGTCAATAATGTCGTAAGAATTATGTTGGTTTATCTTTAATTTCATTCAATTTATTGTATATATTATTAAAAGTTATTACATAAAATTTTTTTGGGCCTAATTATGGGTGATATTGTTGCCACACCCTCAATTATTAGTGCTACATCTTTTTTTTAATTGATTATTATACCCTTTAATTTATTGAGAAACAAAAAAGTGTAAATTTTTTAGACAAAATATGATGTAAGGGTATAATAGACAGTTATGTTAACAAGATGTGGTATTAACAATTTAAGGTGTGGTAATAAACTCACCCCTCTTAAAGTCAATTTTAATAGTGGTCAATTATTAAAAAGTGTTAAAAGAAGAATAGTTTTACTCTACATTAATAATAGGGCCTAGATAGCATAAAAAAATATAAAATTCTATATTAAATTAACTAGATTATATTGTACTCTTAAATGGCTAAATTTTTTAATAATTAAAGAAAAGAAAAGAAAAGAAAATGTCTTATCAAGAACATAAGAGTATTTGATAATATATAAAAAAAAAAAGGCAATCTTACATTACACCCTTGAATTTACCTCAAATTTTCAATTAAGTTTCTAAGCTTTTATTGAAGCAAATAAGCCATTGAACTTGTTAGTCTAGGTAATTTAACCCTCTTCTTTATGGCAACTTAACACCCATTTGTGCTTTACTTGCATGGACAAGATCAACACCTGTTATGTAAGCAATGATATGTCAATACCTAATCCAGCAAGCAATGCATAAAATGACGCTAAGTTTGCCATAAAGAAAATGATTAAATTGCTCAAATCAAAAAATTCAATGACTTATTTGCTTCAATAAAATTTTAAGAGTTTAATTGAGAATTTGGGGTAAGTTTGGAGTACCATAAGGTTATGCCAAAAACAATTAATTAAGGATAAGTAAAACTCATTTAATGATGTAAAATTTCCAATCTTAATCTTTAACTAATTTTGTAAGCCCGTGCAATGCACGGGACATTTTTATTTTTATGTTTATATTGATTATTATTAGTATAAATAAATTTAATAAGTTTAAACTTTTATAGTATAATTTATCATATTAAGATTTAGAAAAATACCTAAACATTTTATGGGCAAACAAAAATATGTTTAGACATCTTTAAAAATCATATTAAAATAAAAAAATGAAAAATTCTTTTTTTCCTCAAGTGGTTTCTCATAATTGGGGAATTTATTAATCAAATCGGTAAGTAATTTCTCGATAAATCATTTATTATAAATTATTTCTAAAATTCTTTTCATTTATCATTACCATTAAAAGAATATTATAATTGCTATTTGTATGTATTATGATTCTTATTAGTATTGTAGTGGCTTTTCATTTTTAAGGAAAATGATTGATACACATTTTAATTCAACACCTACCAACATCCACTAGTTTAATCATTAAGATTTATTGTTTTAAGTTTTTCACCTTTCATTCAAATTCAAAAGTAATAATTTCTCAATGATTATATTATAGAATATGTTAAAATAAAATATGTTTGTATTAGTGTTTCATTTTCAATTATAATATTATAATTGTAATTTTTGGTTATATATTTTTATTAATTTCTCACTAAATTTTAATTAAATTTTTATGAACATTCTATGTTATTATGTTTTCATAATAATAATTAGATTTCTTACTTCCACTACCCTTTACCTTTCTATCTCTAAGTTTACTAAAATCTAAAATATGTTGTGATGTAACATAAAATATGAATTAATTGAGATTTATTTTTAAAATACTAATATAACCCATACCCTTCCTTTCCACTATCCTGCCATTTTTTTGGACCATCAGTTTTAATTTCATTCATTAGTTAGGTTACATTGTTATAATTTGTATTTTTTCTCTAGTTTAAAATGAAGTGTAACTTTTTTTTTTTAATTGAGATTTATAATGATTGTAATTATGATTATGTTTTTCATTGATGTATCAAAAAAAAAAAAATCCTAATTAAGGCTTTTGAAATCCTTTATACATGTTTTGTTTTTGTGTTTTCATATTTTATTGCATTTTTGTGAGAATGATTAGATTATCACTTCCTCTACCTTTTGACTTTCTATCTAAAATCTCTAGATTATTAAAATCTAAAATATGACGTAATACAACATGCAATATGAATTAAATACTTGGCCTTAGAAGCCCAATGGCATTAGCCATTAAACAGGTGCACTTCCCTCTCTTTGGACGGATTTCAAACTCGCCCCATGTCAAAATGTTTAAAAAAAAAAAAACATACAATATGAATTAATTAGGATTAATTTTTAAAAAATACTAATAAACTCTAATTATAACTCATATCATTCCTTTTCACTATCTCGTTAAGTTTTAAAACCTTTTTAATGTAGTCAGTGGATTTTATTATAGATTATAAATATAGATAAATAGATAAATATAAAGATATGGATATATCAATTAGTGGTGAAATAATACAATAATTTATAACTACTTGTCCAAAATGTAATGTCCAAAATGGTATGAGTAATAATTAGAGTTTAGGATGTAGACCCTATTTAATGTAATCAGTGGATTTTATTATAGATAATAAATATAGATAAACAGATAAATATAAAGATATAGATATATATCACTTAGTGGTGAAATAATACAATAATTTATAACTACTTGTCCAAAATGTAACATACAAATAATTTAAAAGAGAATTAAGAAGAATTTATGTTTTGAATAAATAAAAAAAGTCAAAGGATTCAAAATAGGTATTTTGAAATATATTTATAATTACTCTTTCTATTTGTAAGTTGCATATTTGAATTGATTATATTTACCTTTGTAAACAGGCTGACTCGAGAATATTTTCTATTTGTAAGTCAAAGGATTCTTATATATATTACATTTTCTTTATTCTCCTTAACTATCAAAAGAATATTGCTAATTTAAATGTTGGATTCAAACTATGAAATTCAACTAGTTGAACTATAAAGCTCGTTTGTGCTTTTATAATAAGGTAGAAATTTTAGTAGAAAAAGAGTGGGTTCCACATCAAAAATAAAAATTTCCATGCTCAAAAAATGATGAAAATTGCAAACACCTTGAATGCCTAATGGAGTGCAAAGGAGTCAAGGTGACCACACGAAATCTGCATCGGAAAAATTAAACCTTCTTGCAATTTCGTCGGTGCTAGAATTACACTTTAGTCTCTAAGCTTTGAGTTTTTAGTGCAATTTGTTCCTCAAACTTAAGATTTATTAAATTGGTGTCTAGCTAATTTCACATTCTTCTTTTTCAAATTTGTCCTTAAACTTTTAAAAAGTTTACACTTCAGGCGGAAAGTTTCTAATTTTAAATATTTCAGCCCTTTTCTGCACAAATAATTATAATCATATTATAATCATATAAAATTTTATAAAATCACATTCAACTCATTAAAATATTTCTGAAATCAAGGTTAAAATCATAAAATAAATTATATAATATAAGAATTCATCTCATTTGGATGCCTTGAATTGCTTGAAGAAGAAGTGACGCAACAAGAAGCGAAGAAAGTTTTGGAAGCTTGCATGAGATTCCAGTACCTTTAGCTGAAAAGATGCGTAAAGCCCTAAGGTGTCAGCATCCTTAGGCATGCTGATGGCACTTGCGTTTTAGTCGTATGCACTAGGTTTTGTGGGAAGCAAATCTAAGTCGTTTCAACCGGGTAACTATTTGGGTTGCCAAGAACCGTCCATGCTGTACTGCAAACTTCCTCAATGTGAAAAGATTTTCCTCAAATTTCAGCATTGCCTCCTCTGCAAATTGAAACTTTTTTGTTTTATCCTGATGAATAGATTTGGCCTTGGGGATGAAAACTGAAGAGGAAAGATAGAGGGTATAAGAATCAAAGAGAGATAGGTGGTTTTAATTGATCTAATAATGGCTACCACCATCGAGAAACTTGTTGATTTTCATTAACAGAAGATCAAGCCTTTTTTTTTTTCTTGTGTTTTTGAAAATTGATGAAAAAAGCATTAAACTCAAATGGAACTAATGAAATTTGAAGAGAAAAAGGAAAAGATCTGAGTATAAGAAACAAGGGTAAATGAGTTGAGAAACTCAACAGCAATGGAGGTCAATTCTCAAAAGAGAGCACAGACTCAAAGTCTCAAACCTTAAGATCGAGCGGGAATCCATCATTTGCTTACCTTACCAAAAACAAACACACAAACAAACATATATGGCCACGTTATAATTGAGTTACGTGCGGTTTCGATTTTCAACAATGAAAATTTCTTCATAAATTGTACTCACATATAACAAATGAAAACATATATACCGATTTACATGTTCTATATGAGAAATATATATATATATATATATAT